GTCTGCTGCCTCAAAGTCTGCTTCCCACATTACGGTAAGCAAACCAAACGATCGCAAGCCTGCTGTGAAGGAGAGGCAACCTTGGTGTGGAAAACTATAAGCTCACAGCCACCATTGCTGTGAAACCTCCAGTGAGGGCAGCAAAGGAATCATAGTGTCCTGTCTGAGACGCATTTCTTCATACAGCATTAGTCACAGCTGATGGTCATTGCTGGTGAAGCACGAGGTCTGTTCTGCCAGGTGTAACAGTACATACTATGCAACAGACCTCCCAAGAGTACATATTCCTGGAAGGAAATTAGGAGACCATCTCAAAGAAAGATTGATGTTAAAAGCTTTGATCCATGTGCAGCCCATTGCATGTCTACTGTCAGAGTTTCAGTGCCAGATGTGAGAAGCAGAAGCCTGACACCCCCTTCAGGAGAGTGGCACTGGGTCCTCGGGACACTAGAAGATAGTCCCAGTCACCTGCAATGTCCAGGACCCACTTAAAAACCTTCAGCCACCCCCCACCATTAGCAGATGGTACAGTAACTCAGGCAGTAATTGAGATGTCTGTTTGCAAACAAACGCTTAATGCCATTCCTTAACAAGTGTGACTAATACATTTAAGCAATTAATTCAAGTAGAATCAGAACGCACCACAAACCACTTGGCAAAGACAGAGGTGAAAGAGAATAAGCCAGGTGGCAGCACAGCCCCCACCTTCCCAGGGGGGCTAGAAGCACACTCCTGCATTTTAATTTAGATCTCTCTGAAGTTCTGGGACACGTTTCGAGGGCGTCCCTGACCTCAGGTCTTGGGTAATGTTGAAACAGCTGAATGCCAGATTACCGGCATTAACCATAACACACCAATAACACCCACAAAGTGTCTTCACTCTCCACCTGAGGCTGTATTTGTTCCCACAGTCGCATGCGGCTGTGGGGGGGCTCTGTGATGTCTGTCACCAGCCAGCTTAGCACCGTGTAACGCTGCGTGAAGGACAGAGAGCGTCTGTGGACCACTCTGCCGGTGACCTTCTCCCTGTCCCAAAAGACACAGATCCCCCCCCCCCACACACACACACACGGTGACAGGGAGTGTGTTTGTGCAGGCAGCTGCTTGTTTTTCAGAGGACCTTCACGTTCGACATCTCACAGATCACAGAAACTGGGAGAGCGGGTGTCTGGATATACGATCAGTCGATCTGCTAGGCTTACTGGGCGTTTATCTCCTCATCCAGAGCTAATGGCCTGGGTGCTGTGCTCCGTTAACCAGAACGCCGTCAGCAAGGAAGCCTGGAAGCTGACCTGCAGTCAGCTGACCTGCATCACTGCATCACTGCATCACCCCGCAAGGGACAGTAGGTGGCAGTGCAGCTAAGGGCCAGACCTGGGCCACCCCAACATTCTGACTGATTATCCTTTTCAGACACATTATGTCATCTGCTGCTTGAACCTGTACAGATGGGTTTTTGGTTATTCTCTCGCTGCACAGACAACAGTATTGCAGGGCTAACAATGTGGAGTGCTTGCTAACAGTGCGGAGCATTAATTTTGCAGTGTGGTAACATTGTGGAGTGCTAACAATGCCAAGTGTCAACAGTATGGATCGCTAGCAGTATACAGTGCTAATTGTACGGAGCAGTAACAGGGCGGAGTTATAACAGTGTGGAGCACTAACTGCACTGACTAGTAACTGTATGGAGCGCTAACAGAGCTCCAGGAGCCAAAAATCTTGATATACATATGCTTATACATGCCAGTGAAATCCTTTGGATGTAACTGTTTTAACAGTGTACTGCTTACTCTACTCTGCTATCTGTCATTGTTGTTGTTTGTTTAGCTTAGTTGTGTTAATGTCATTTTAAGCTCTATTTTGTATTTGTGGTGTTTGGCCCCGTTGTCTTTTTACTGCTGTCTATCTTGGCTAGCTTTCTCTCATACAAGAGAGTTTACATATCAGTGGGAGTAACTGGGCTAAACTGTTTTAAAAACTGTTTAACAATGTGCTATATAGGCAGCTATTTAACCATCACTGCTTCCTTACTGGTCCAATGCTCCTGATACTGGGATTGGACTAAAACTAAAAAATCTAAAACAAAATCTCACTTGTTCTGCTGCTGATCACAACCAGAGTGACTGAAATTATTTACCACCCCCTCCCCTCCCCTCCCCTCCCCAGGGATCTGTAGAGCAGGTATCAGAGTCTGTCATTATCTTCAGTACACATCATGTTAAATACTATCAAGTAAAATGCAAAACGGAGACCTACAGATGCAAATCAACAAAGATCCTAACATGCCTTCGTAAACAAGCCGGCATAATACAATAATATAGAGCCACTGGATGTCACTGAAAGGCTGGAATGTTACTGGCTAATGTTGCAGAAATTGTGGTGAAATGCAGCCAATTAAAACAGGGGCAGCCTATGGCCCAATGGGCTAAGCCTCTGTGCCTGTGATCAGAAGGTTGCTGGTTTGAGCCTCAGCACATCAGCAAGGCCCTTAACCCCCCGTTCCCTGGGTGCTATCATGAGTGGCTGCCCTTCACAGCCAGCTTGCTCTCACCTACAGAGAGCAAGTTGGGGGAGGCATAAAGAGATTTTCCACATGGGGACCAATAAAAGTATCAATTGCTAAAACAAATTCTTCATTTTATATGTTTCTATTGAGTACATTCCCACACAAAGTGGTCAAGGCTGCTATTTTTTGCTGCAATGTGGCCCCACCCCTTCAGCTTCTTGTCTCGTCTGATTGGCAGGTAACCGGTTCTCCTCCTCCCACGCCCGTGTCCTGGTCCTGGGGGCATGGTGCTACGCTGTGGTCTTTGCCGTGGGGCCGATGGCCGAGTGGGGTCGCTACGGGCCGGAACCGTATGGCACAGCTTGCTCCGTGGACTGGCACGTGCCCCGTGGGGACGCGCATGCCGTGACCTACGTGGTAGCGCTCTTCCTGTTTGGCTACGCGGTGCCCTGCACCGTCATCCTCACCTCGTACGCCTTCATCCTGCTGACGGTGCGCAGCTCACACCTGGCCATGCGGCAGCACATATCCCCGCAGAGCACGGTCTCCAACGCCCACATACTCATCGTCAAGGTGGGTCCACACTCTGAGCCACCCTGGACACGCTTCACGGCACGTGCCATTTAGCATTAGCGTAGCACTGGCGGTACCCCCCCACGGCACCCCCTCTTATGAGACCCTGGTACTTCCAGAGAGACCCCATCTGCGTGCTTACACATTTCTCCCCGTCCCCAGCTCTCTGTGGCAGTGTGCGCCGGCTTCCTGGCCGCGTGGAGCCCCTACGCCGTGGTGGCCATTTGGGCAGCCAGCAGCGGCACTGCCCAGGTGCCCCCGGTTGCCTTCGCCCTGGCAGCTATCTTTGCTAAGTCCTCCACCGTCTACAACCCCATAGTCTACCTGTTGTTCAAGCCCAACTTCCGCAAGTCGCTGTACCGGGGGGCGGCGCACCTCCGGGGCCGACTCCAGCCAGGCCGGACCTCCCAGCGTAACCACGGCGACATCAGCCATTCTACGCGCTTGTCTGATGGCCCGCACGAATGGCACGGAAGGTGCCGGCATTGTGTGGAGGATGGGGCGCTCTGCGTGGCGCCGGCACAAAGGACTGCTCGTGTTCTGGTGGTGTCAGCCCACAGTGAAGTACGCGTCAGCCAGATCTCCGACAGACTTCACTGCGACTTCCTCTGAAGGGACGCCCTGCACGGCCAGTTCCTGTCCCCAGACCAACTGGGACCCGAGCGACCAATAGGACAGAGACGAGTACCAGCAATCAGAAGGCTTAGAAGATGGCTTTGTATATGGGGAGGCACCCAGACAGTGACACGACACTACAATTACAATAACCCCGACCACAAGGGGGCAGTACTTCCAACAAAATAAACATGGGCAGAACAAATAGCGGTACAACACCTGTCTCATCTTTTTAGATTTATGCAAGGGAGGCTCCTTCTCCATTTTAGCAGTGAGTGGGCCTCCCATCTACAGTACATCCACGATCACCTCAGTTTTTAGTCTGTACTGATGTTTAGCTCCATAGAATAAATAATATTTCAAATATGCATCTTCTGGTCCCCGGACTACATAAGACAAACTTTTCCTCTGTCTGGAAGCCTGTCTGACCAAACCCCATTCAGTGGCCTGGCTGATCTTCTGGGAGTCAGTGAAAATGCCACTTGGAGACAGTTACCATCAGCACTGCAGCGTCCAGACCTGCAGTCATCATGCTAACTTTATAGGGGTCAGAGGGCACTTTATACATGCGGGAGATTCGCTTAATGGGCCTGCAGTTTCTTTTCTAAGCTTTGACTTTCCCCCGCATCATGAGGGATTTAACAGACGGCTTGTATCAGTCGTTTGCTCTATGCAAACACAGGGGGGGGGGGAGGCAAGTGGAGCGGCGACATCAGCGGCGACCCCTGAGACACGGACATCCAGCGTTCATCAGCCGCAGGGTGACACGTTCTCCATCGTCTAGGCTGGCTGGTCGCTGCTTTAGATGCTTGGGTCGCAGTAACATGATGAGTGGGGGGGAGCCTCTCCAGCTGAAGCATGGCAGCCTAAGGCAGGTGGTCTCCGGATGCCATGCTGGCCACCTGAGGGAGGGTCCAGCACAGTTCCTGCAGAGCTATGCACTGAAATTACCTGCCTATTTCTGTGACTCCGCCCATTTCCTCTGGTGGACAAGTTCTCCTGGGATTGTGGGTATGGCAGGGGCGGGTATGGGGTATAGCAGGGAGGGGTATGGGGTATAGCAGGGAGGGGTATGGGGTATGGCAGGGGCGGGTATGGCAGGGAGGGCTTGGCCTGTTTTTACATTCTTGTTGTTTTTTAAAAATTGGATGAAGACATGTGGAGGAAAGGTTTCAGGGCTGTGTCTGTCAGAGCCAGAGACTTGTTTGTTGATCATTTTCTGCTTAAAAAAAAGGAAAAATCACATCTCTCCCGCCAGTATTACATGCGGTATTAATCGCGCAATAGTCACCATTATTAACACACAGTGTGTGCTAAATGCCCAGCAGCATGTGACCTGTCATCTCATGCAGGAACCACGAAAATGTGCTCGTGCTCTGAACTGCACAACTAAAGTATCTGCAAGGACAGAGCTGTGCTCTCCATAAGGAGCTTATCTACAGCTGCTACATGCACCTACAGACAGGGTGGGGGCGCGAGAGCATTTCACAGGCAAGGTGAGGCATGAATCCAGCAGCATTCAGAATCCGGGTCAGAGGGGTTCTGGGAGAAGACGCTGTGTGCTGTTAAAAGGCAGCCGGATCAGTACATTCACAGGCTGCAGTCGGAATTTTTTTCCCTAAAACCTGCAGCTTCTAGTCTGTTAGTGAAAGCTTATTGTGGCATCACTGGCTGATAAGGATGTAAGGAAGTGCTTGTTGCTTTGCAGAGACAGGGTGGACCAGCTCCCGAATCTGAATTCTCCACAAATGGCCCCCGCCCCCGTCAGACAGCACTCTCCCACAGCTGAGTCAGGCTCATCGCCCCGGCAGCTTAAATGTTCCGGCACATTCTCTTTCCTTGTGCCTGTGATGTCGTACTGTGAGTATTTAAAGCATGTTTTTTAATGTAAAAAGGAGTGAAAGAATCACAGCCAAAGTGAAGTGGTATTTGACCCAGACAAAGTAAAGCAAAAAACGAGCCCCCTTGGGCAGCTTTGGGGGGTGAAGTGCATTACCCTGTGTCTGTGTCGCTGACATCACGCACACCGCCTACTCCTATGCCATTAAAGCTCCTTCCCTCATTTCCTGTTTGCTGTGAACTGTGTTGCGTGTCACAAATCAATGTGATAAAAGCGTTGTATCATTACTGCTGGAATTTCAGATTCACTGTGAAAAACTCTCTGTACAATCTTCAAAGGCACCTTGTTCGAAAAAAGAGACATTAAAATGATAAAGAGAATCAAGTTGTCGCCTCGCTCTGCTCTGTCTGTGGGCCCTGTGTGTGTTATGGCAGGCATGCTGCTCCTGTTCTGGTTTCTCTGTGATGGATCTAGACTAACCCTAACACTTGAAAAAATCAGAGAGCTCTTGTAGGCAATCAGTTCACCAGCTTGTCACATATGTGTGGCTCAGTGGGCTAAGCCTCTGTGAATGGAAGGTTGCTGGTTCCAGCCCAGTCTCAGCATGGCTATGGGTCCTTGACCAAGGCCCTTGACCCCCAGCTTCCTGGGTGCCGCAACAAGAGGCTGCCCTTCACAGCCAGCTTGCCCTCACCCACAGAGGGGGAGGTGTAAAGAGAATTTCCCTACAAGGATCAAGGAAGTTTTCATTATTGTTATTATTATTATTATTATTATTATTATTAATAAACCTCTCCAGACTGATCACCTAGTCATCTTCAGACCACTTCTGCTGGCGCATCATCTGCAAAGAGCAGGACGTCACCTCTAACCTGCATTCTCAGACCCCCTCCCAGCCACGGCTGCACCTTCATATATGTCCTTGAAGATTACCAGCAGGATTGGGGATAAGACCTCCCTCCCAACAGAGACCAGTAGCCGGAGCCACCATGGATGTGACATGACCCCCACTACATCACATAACAACGAGAGACTGGAGCTGTCACTGTCCCCACGCCTCAGTGCTCAGCCCGTGACAACATTGTGACTGTCTCTAGGCCTCATTGCTCAGCATGTGCCGACGCTGGGACTGTCCCTAGTGCTCAGCGCATGGCGACACTGTGACTGTCCCCAGCCCTCAGTGCTCAGTGCGTGACAACGCTGTGATTGTNCCCAGTGCTCAGCATGTGGTGACACTGTGACTGTCCCCAGCCCTCAGTGCTCAGCTTCTGATGACATTGTGTCTGTCCCCAGCCCTCAGTGCTCAGCTTCTGATGACATTGTATAGAAGGTGATTGCAGCACTTAGAGTGTTTAAATGTATAACTGAATACTTAGAATACTGCTGTGCTCCAGTACTGAGGGAGAACTGAAGAGAAGCTCTACACCAGGGGTGTCAAACTCCAGTCCTGGAGGGCCAGAGCCCTGCACATTCTGGGGTTTCCCTGCATTTAACACACCTGATTCATACCTGATTTGCTACTCCTTGTGATATTTACTACATAAGAACATAAGAAATTTACAAACGAGAGGAGGCTGTTCGGCCCATCAAGCTCATTTGGGGAGGATTCAATTAATAGCTTATAGTTGTTAAAATCTTATCTAGCTCAGATTTAAAGGAACCCAAGGTTTTAGCTTGCACTACACTAACAGGAATACTATTCCATACTCTAAAAACATGCTGTGTAAAGAAGTACTTTCTTAAAAATAGTTTAAAATGTTCTCCTGCTAATTTCCAACTATGGCACTCTTCGGTGTAATCATTTGTGGTGGTACAGTGAAAGAACTCAGCTACACAGTGCTCTGGCCTTCTAGGACTGGAGTTTGACACCCCTGCTCTACACAAAACTAGAAAGTGCCAATGTGCGAACTGCCAATGCGCTAACAGCCAAAGAGCTAACTGCTAATGTGCTAACTGCCAATGTGCTAACAGCCAAAGAGCTAACTGCTAATGTGCTAACTGCCAATGTGCTAACAGCCAAAGAGCTAACTGCTAATGTGCTAACTGCCAATGTGCTAACAGCCAAAGAGCTAACTGCTAATGTGCTAACTGCCAATGCGCTAACAGCCAAAGAGCTAACTGCTAATGTGCTGACTGGTAAGGCGCTAATTGCTAATGTGCTACCTGGTGAGACGAGATACCTGCTTGAGGGTCTCTGTACCTTCAACATGAAACTCTAACTGCAGCAAGCTCAGAGACTCATTTATCATGGAACAATCCAGCTCTGGCTTTATGCCGGACACTCTGTAAATTAAAAAGATCTATCAGTGATACAACCTTCAGAGGGTGGCTGCGTGTGACCATAGCTTAGCAGGTTGGCTCTGTTACAGCACAGCACAGCCAGCAGAGTGGTGTGTGATTTACAGATGGCGAACCGCGTCTGACTCGCCCTGGGGGTGTCAGAACAGGCACTGTCAAGGGCAAAGTAATAATTCTCAACAAACGAGCAAACTGGAGGGCGAAGCAGCAACGTTCACATGCAGGGATGCAGCACTGCCTGAATCTCAGTGCTGTCTCTATGGAATATCAGCACTGGCTTCAAAGTGCCGAGTGAATATCCATGGTGGTGCTGTAGTGTTTTCTGCCATGATACTTTCATCTTTCATTACTTTGGGTCCTGGATGGAGGCAGACATGAATCAGTCTGCTCAGCACCACTCTCTCTCTGTCTGTGTGTTTAATTAAGTGGATTTGTCACCAAGCAAGGCTGCCAGTGAGACAGACAGATTGCACATCCTTGTCTTCAGGTAGCCTCCTTCCCCAGGATACCTTAACAAGCAGGCTCATCTTTAGGCCCGGCCCAGTTCGTAATGAGGATGGCGCCGATCCGCTGGCTCTGCACTAACACCTGGCATACATCAGGCTGCAAAGCTACATTTTAACGGCTCAGCAGGGCTGACCTGCACATCTGCAGCAGATGAGAGCAGGGATTGTCTGCTGCAGCTAACAGCGCCACCTGGTGGCCGTTAATCATAACCAGGAATTTGCACATTTTTTTCCTGCACATTAAAATAATTCATGTTCCCTGTGCATGACCTCTTACCTCCTCTCTAGGACCTGCTTGCATAGTTGAGGCAGTTAAATAAAATAGTCCAGGTATTACTAACCACCACAGGGAGTGAGTTGTTTATCGCTGCCCGCCAGAATGTGTGTGCTGTACAAACCTGCCTTCCTCTCCCATCAGCCCCTGAGCACCAATGTGCCTGTTAGCACTAACGTCGCCTTCCTGAAGCTGGTGGAAGGACACAGGAAACAGTAGAGTGGCGCTGTGATGCAGAATGGCGACTTTCTGTGGCCGGGTGCCTTGCTGTCAACCTTTAGCTTCCTCGCACGCGCCAAATAAAGCAGCAACTGACTTCAGACTGTGCAGGGAAATGCCCTCATTAGCGCATAGTGCAGTCAACTAATGCCATGGCGACAAGCACTAAGGCAGCCCAGGGATGGTGAATGCATGCATCCGGAAGGACATCCTCCAGCCTTTTTACCCATTTCTATAGCTTATCCCTGAGGTAACATCTTCCATGCAAAACGGGCACCATGCAAGATGCCCTATATTCCTCCACGTCCTTGGGCATTGTGGGTATTGCACAAGCATAGTGTTCATTAAGTGGAGAAGATTATTACATAGGACTATTTTTATTGGTCATAGGTAGGGCTGCAACGATTCATCGAGTAACTCAATTACAAAAAATCCTCGATGCAAATTATTTGCTTCGATGCTTCACTTAATCCACATGACTATGTCCTGATCAGTGATCACCGTGCTTCACACGGGGGATTATTACTATGACACATTGTGCTTACGCTGCATTACATGTAGCAGAGCAGTGGAAAAAACAGACCTGTGACACTACCATAGGGACCCATTGTAAAAAATGGCGGAGAAATATCCAGCAAACTTCTGGGTCATGGGGACGGTGAATAGTTCCAAACACTGACATTCACGGCATAGAATCAGAATACAATTGCTTGCATTATTTTGTGGCAATTTATTTGCCAATAAATAAAAAATTCCACCTTGCGGTACAGTGTCTATTTTTCCGCTCGCTTTTTAAGTGCTGCATTTGTAAACAGCCACCCACCCAGTTCAGGAGGAAGCACTCGATACAGCAGCATTAGTGAATGTTCAGTGTGAGGAGGCCCTTCTAGACTGTGGTTGCTTTCCATCTGCGGTTCTGCCCGATTTAGTGCCCAGGGAGCTGTGGAGTGAGATGATTTCTAACATCAGTTGTGTTCATGGTGATGAGAAATGGTAGCCCACAGCAGAGGTTTATCTTACAGTTGGTGGTCAGAATTAGCTCCTGACAGTAGCATTAGTGCCTACGCTGCCGTATCCAGTGGTTCTTGGTCATGATGTCCCCACACTGCTTGACCTGATAGAGCAGGCAAGACATAAAAAAAAAGCTTATCGAGGTGGGACAAACAGGGGACACTGAGGCCACAGCTCAGGAGTTTAAGCAGCAGAGTCAACCAGATCCCCATTCAGCAGCTCCAGCTTGTAACATTGTCACATCTAGGGCTCAGAAAACGAAGAACACCCTTGAAGAGTTACCTTTATTCCATGCTGAGCTGGAGTCAGGGCTAGTCAAACAGCCAAAGTCCAGAGCTCAGAGAAGGAGGGAAAAGCTTTTGGCTATGGTGAGGAACCAGTGGGAGGAAGCAGGGCAGCCTAATCAGCCTTTAGATGTTCACGTTCTCTTGGATATAGTAGCATCGCTGCAAGCCAACCCCACATTAAAGCCATAGTTTGACAGGGTCTCAGAGGTTGAGGGGGTTTAGTCAGAGGTTGAGTCAGGCTGTTTAGCGGATACCAGATATGTTATTAAAAATGGTATACTTTACCACCAGCAAGGCAAGGTTGAGGCCTTAGCATTGCCACAGAGTCTCACACAGAAGGTACTGGAGGTAGGTCATTCTATCCCTTGGGCAGGTCACCTAGCCTTCCAAAAATCTCTCAGCAGTATTGGCAGAAGGTTTGTCCAGCCAGGCATGAAGCCTTTCCTCTTAATTCTGTGAAAGCCAGACAGTTTGCTAACTGTCTTCTCCAGTTCGCTAACTGTCTTCTCCAGTTCTTCTTGAGGGTAGGTATACCTAGAGAAGTCTTCACAGACTGTGGTACGAACTTTCTTTTCAAACTTCTGAGGCAGGTTTACCAGGAAAAAAGGTGATTAAGATCACACCATACCACTCCCAGATGAACAGGCTGGTGGAAAGGTTTGATCACTCTAAGGAACATGCTGCAGAAATTTGTGTCCTACACAGGCTTAGACTGGGACCAATGGTTGCCATACCTGTTATTTGCCTATAGAGAGGTACCACAGGCTTCGATGGGTTTCTCTCCCTTTGAGCTGCTGTACGGTTGTCAAGTGAGGGGGCCCCTTGACTTCCTGAAGGAGGACTGGGAGAACCCAAGGGCTGAGCAGGAGAATGTGGTGGCCTATGTGTTGAAAATGAGATTGGAAAGGATGACGGCTCTGGCACAAGAATACATGAGGTCTGCACAAGCCAACCAGAAGACCTGGTATGATAAGAAGGCACAAGACAGAACTTTCCAACCTGGTCAAAAGGTTCTGCTGTTGCTTCCCACGAGTGACAGTAAGCTGTTGGCCAGATGGCAGGGGCCTTACGAGATCACCAAATGCCTTGGAAAGGTTACCTATGAACTGTACATGCCTGACTAATTGAAGAAACATCAATGTTTTCATTTGAAAAAATTGAAGAACTTTCAGGAGCTGGGAATGCCAGTCCAGCATCCAGACCAGCAGCACCTTCTCATCAGTCCGGCCAATCAAGAGGACGAGCATGAGCAGTCATTCCCCACCAACACATCAGAACCTGCTGCAGTGGATGTGTCCCATCTTCAGCCGGTCCAGCAGGGGGAGATGAAAGCATTGTTGGACCCTGAACTTTTCCAAGAAAAACCTGGCTTAACAACCCTGGTCCAACACAAGATCCACCTGAGAAGCTGGGCATCATTGAGACTTCAACCAGTGAGTAGTGTAACCCCATTGTGTTGGTCCCAAAGATGGATGGCTCACTGAGGTTTTGCATGAACTTCAGGTACCTGAATTCGGTGTCTAAGTTTGAGTCCTATCGTTTGAAGGACTAACACACATATTACTGGATGGTACCTATCCCATCAGCTTTATAACTTTACAGTCCAGGACCAGGCACGGAAAGCCAATCTGGTGGCAGACTGTCTCTCCAGGGTACATAAGAATTGAAGTAGTGTACTTCTGGGAGAGGTGGGGAGGAAATGTAACAGCGGACCACTGCTACTGGTCTGGTTTTAGAGAAGGGTATAAGGGTAAAATTACACAGGTTGGGATGGAATGCTGAGTTAGGTTAATAAACACACAGAAGGATTTTAAAAATGTTTATTGATTGTTGATATACACGTATATGATTTATTGTTTGTGGCAGTCGCTTGGGCGCGGTCTGCAGTCAATGCCAGGTTGTTTGCCTTGGGTCAACTGTGAAGAGGGGTACAAAAATTGCATTGATTGAACATTCCTTGCAATAGTAAAGTATAGTGAGACCCTGTTTAAAACAAGCAAACAGATGGATATTGTTTGTATGGCTATTGTATTTTGTGGGGAACATGACTCACCTCTGCCTGTTCTCCTCCTCCCAGGGTGTTCAGGCAAAAGAGTTCCCTGGGGGCTTGATCACTTTTTATTAGTTCCGGGAGGGAGATACCATGTGGGAAGTGGATGGAGGGGAGTTTTAATTTCTGGTTTAGGTGTAAATATTTATGCAAATTATTTATGGGTATTTGGGGAGGATATGTATTTGTTGATTAATATTTATATTTTAATATAGTTTTATGCAAATATTTGTGTATTTATGGGGGTGTGTGTAATGAACACGGTGCACAAAAATAAAGGAAAATGCTTGATGAACAGTATCTCTGCCTCTGGATCTCCTGATTGGTTGTTTCATTGCTCGTCTTAGATGCTAACAGTCCCTAAAGTGCAAGGTGTGAATGGAACAGTGGTAGTTTTTGCAATGTTTGCCCAATTTAGCTTGTTTTAAAGAATGACAGTGGATTTTGATCACTGGAGACTTTTGAGAGGTGGGTGGTTTCTGTACAAGTAAATACACAGGAAGGCATATTTTAACCTGGCAGCCTTTATGAAACATTATACAATATTATTATTTGTATGTTATTTCGATTGGAAAATGGTTCAAAATTATTTGAAAGTAACATTTTTTTCCTTAAAAATTAATTGTAAAAAAAATCAATTTTAGCATGTTCCATGCAAAAAGAGCAACTTCTGACTGTAAAATGTAAAAAAAATTAAAAAGTTACATTTGTTTAGAAGCTGTTTTTAGTGTTTGGGGAAGATTTAAGGTATTAAATGTCTGCACTGTTACGGTTATTTGTGGCTTGACTTTTAAATATAGCCTATATATGCTGGGTCACTAAAGATCCAAGGTACGTAACAGTGTTTTTTAAAGGTCCCATGTACACAAGCGTTAATAGGACAAAAGTATTTCTTATCTGATTACTCGATTAATCAATGGAATAATCTTTAGAATACTCAACTACTAAAATAATCGATAGCTGCAGCCCTAGTCCTAGGCCCCAGGGCCACTAGGTTCTTGGACAACAATCCAACTGCAGCCGCAGTTTTGGACTCGAAGCGTCTACGAAGATGCCACCTTGGGATCAAATGCAGCATGAGCACAGCTGGACCCGGTGGGTTCGCACATCTGCTTTAAGCAGAGTAAAGTTTAAAAATGCAGAAGAACTCAGTCTGGCCATTTTCATATAAAATTTATATATTTATTTATATATAGTTTTTTTTTTTTTTTAAGCCAACACATTTCATTTAGGGATTTGTTCCCTTCA